GCTCGTCCGACCTGCCCGTGCGGCCAGCCTTCCCGATCCTTCCCGCCCCTCGCACAGTCGATCGTGACGCCCTTGCGCAGCGTCTGGCCTTGCGACAGCATGGAGGTCAGGTAGGACGCGTGCGTCAGGGTGAACCCCCGGCGCACATTGTGCGCCCAACAGTGACGACAGTTACAGGATTCCGATGGCCCGCCTCGGATTCCAACATGAAGTAAGGGCCACTTAGGCAGGAGGCTCCCGCCTGAGACTTCGTCGCAATTCAATCACAGACGAGGCTCCAGCCTGATATTTCCTCCGGCCTGAGGAGCCCCAAAAAGTGACGTCAGTTACAGGATGCCGATGACCGGCTTCGGAATCAAACATGAAGCGCGGGCCCCTGAGGGAGGGAGCTCCCGCCCGAGACTTCCTCACAATTCACTCACAGACGAGGCTTCCGCCTGATACTTCCTCCATTTTCAGGGTTGAGGAGTCCAAAAGTGATGACAGTTAGAGGATTCCGATGACCCGCCTCGGATTCGAACATGAAGTGCGGTCCCCTTAGGGAAGGGGTTCCCGCCTGACACTTCCTCGCCATTCACTCACAGACGAGGCTCCTGCCTGATATTTCCTCCATATTCACACCTGAAGAGCCCAAAAGTGACGACAGTTACAGGATGCGGATGGCCCGCCTCGAATTCCAACATGGTCTCCTTAGGGACGGAATTCCTGCTTGAGATTTCCTCGCAATCCAGTCACTGACGAGGCTCCCGCCTGATAGTTCCCCCACATTCAGGCCTGAGGAGCCCAAAAGTGACGACAAGTACAGGATGCCGATGACCCGCCTCGGATTCGAACATGAAGTGGGGACCCCATAAGGAGGAGGCTCCCGCCTGAGACTTCCTCGCAATTCACTTACAGACGAGGCTCCCGCCTGAGACATCGTCCGTTGTCATGCCAGGGGGTGAGTGATGACGAAATGATGAATGGGTGAATCATGATGATGAGTGAGTGGATGAGTGAGTGGTGATGATGATTATGGTGACGATGAGACGTGAATGTGTGAGTGCGTGATTGACTGAGTGTGATTGTAAGTGAGTGTGTGATTGATGAAAAATAAAGATGATGATGATGCTGATGATGACGAGGATGATTGAAGGAGTGAGTGAGGGTGAGTGATGACGAGGGAGAATGGGGGTGAGGCAGGACTGCGCGGGGTGTTCAGAGAAAACAAGAACCCCACTTAGGACGTGGGAAATAATATAAAAAGTAGGCCAGGTATGTTTTTGATTTGTCTTGATTATTTGGGGTACGGTTTACAGTTTGTGTTGTTTTGTTCTATGCGTATGTGTATATATATATATATATATATATATATATATATCCAAATATCCATATAACACACAAAATCGTTCAAACACCGCCTGTAGGGGGACACGCCCGACCTAATCATGGTGGTCTCAGCGACAGGTCGCGCACGGATCTGTTTGGAGTTTCGATCCCGCCTTTGCGCGGTAGCTCCGTCCGCGGCTAGGCGCGAGCGCGCGCCAGTCCCGGTATGTGAAGGGCTGCGCCTTCTGCCGCTAGCCCCCTAGCCATAGCCATCGTGGATTTGTACACACACATATATATATATGATGGATTAGCATTATAAGTATTGTTGCTGTTATTGCTAGCATATATATATATATAATGTATGATTATTTCTACTAATACTGCTAGTATGATTCCCCACATCCAGAGTGGGGTTCTTGCTTTCTCTGGGCACCTCGCGCAGGAACCACACCTCACCTCCCACCCCTCTCCCCTTTCACTCACCATCCTCACCATCACCACTCATCGTCAGTACTCCTCATCCTTACCATCGGCACTATCATCATCACAATCATCCACACTCACACCATTATCATCCACATCATCAACAACATCCCCATCATTCGATTAATCATAATCATAATTCTCATCCTCATCCTTATCAACATCATAATTTTCTGGTCATTCATCATCATCATCATCATCATCATCATCATCATCATCATCATCATCATCATCATCATCATCATCATCATCATCATCATCATCAGCACCATCCTCATCACCACTCGCTCACTCCTCACTTCGTCACCACCCACCCCCTAGCTTGAATATGGGGGACGTCTCGAGCGGGAGCCTTTTGTGTGCGTGAATTGCGGGGGCGTCTCAGGCGGGACCCCCTCTCCTTATGGGGCCCCCGCCTCATCTTGATAATCCGAGCGGGCCATCGGGATCCTGTAACTGTCGCCACTTTTGGGCCCCTGAGGCCTGAGTATGGGGGAAGTATCAGGCGGGAGCCTCGTGTGTGAGTGAATTGCGAGGAAGTCTCAGGCGGGAACTTCATATTTTTAATCCGAGCGGGCCATCGGAACCCAGTATATGTCGTCTTTCTTGGGGTGTTGATGCCTGAATGTCTGAGGCGGGAACCCTCTCCGTATGGGGCCCCCACTTCCTTCATCTTTGCAGGCGGGAGCCTCCTCCCTATGGGGCCCGCGCCTTATGTTACTAATCCGAGCGGGTCGTCCCAACCGTGGAACTGTCGTCACTGTTGGGCTCTTGAAGGGGGTGAATATGGAGGAAGTAGCTGGAGCGTCGTCTGTGACTGAATTGAGGAAGTCTCAGGCGGGAAATCCCGCCCGATGGGGCCCGCACTTTATGTTCGAATCCGAGGTGGGTCATCGGCAACCTGTAACGGTTGTCACTTTTGGGCTCCTCAGGCTTAAGTATTGAGGAAGTCTCAGCCGGCAGCGTCGTCTGTGAGTGAATCGCGAGGAAGTCTCAGGCGGGAGCTTTTTCCCTTTAGGGTTTGTGCTTCATGTTCGAATCCGAGGTAGGTCATCGGCAACTTGTATCTGTCGTCACTTTTGGGCTCCTCGGGCTTGAGTATTGAGGAAGTCTCAGTCGGGATCTTCGTCCGTGAGTGAATTTCGAGGAAGTCGCAGGCGGGAATCCCCTCCCTATGGAGCCCGAACCTCATGTTGGTAATCCGAGCGGATCATCGGCAACCTGTAACCGTTGTCACTTTTGGGCTCCTCAAGCTTGAGTATGGAACAAGTCTCAGGCGGGAGCCTCGTCTGTGAGTGAATTGCGAGGAAGTCTCAGGTGGGAGCCCCCTCCCTATGGGGCCCGCACAATATGTTGGTAATCCGAGCGGGCCATCGGAAACCTGTAATTGTCGTCACTTTTGGGCTCTTCAAGCTTGAGTATGGAAGAAAAGCTCCTTCATCTTCCTCGCGCCCCAGCGGCCCGCGAGGTTGTCTCAAAGGCATGGCCCGCGGGGCTGTCCCAAAGGGGTTTCGCGATCTGGCCGTCGGCGAACGCGCGCGTTGGCCGAGGAGGCGACGGCGCCGATGAAAATCAACTTGCTTACCCCGACCAGGGAGAAGGAGGTGCACACAGAGAAGCGGCAGGAGGATGAGGAGGGGGGCACGGGTAGACGGAGGGCGATGATGAGGACGAGGTGGAGGATGAGGAGGAGGAGGAAGAGGAGGCGGAGGAGGTGGAGGAGGAGGAGGAGGAGGAGGATATATAAAAGGGAGGAAGAGGAGAGAGCAGAGCTCAGGGCGAGTGGAGACTGTCCGCCAGGGCGATGGGGGAAGTGCTAAGGGTAAGCTAAACAGATTATCGTGCGGGGTGTTACCGTCGGAGTTTGATATCTCTATATATAGACATGTTCTTATTACTGTTCTTATTTTAACTTTATGTAGTAACATAGTTATTAGTATTGCTGTTATTATTATTATTATTATCATTATTATTATTAACTTTAATATTATTATTATTATTGTTATTATTATTATTATTATTATTTGTATTATTAGTATTATTATCAGTACGATGTTCATTAGTAGTACACATCGTATCATTATTCTTATTATTATTATTATTTATTATTATTAATATTATTACTCTTATTATTATCATTATTAGTATCTTTAATACCATTATTATCACCATTATTCGTGATATTCTTATTCTTGTTACATAGGTGCCTTTCTCCCAAACGTTTGCAAACGGGAGGGGGGGATCCCCCCGCTCTCCCCCAAAACGACTCCCTCCGCACCCGTGGCCTCGGGAGGCCCCCCAGGGACGCCCCCCGGGGCCAGGCATGGGCGCGGGGCCGCGGGCCGCGGACCGGGGCCGGGGCTGGGACCGGGGCCGGGGCCGGAGCTGGAGCCGGGGCCGAGGCCGAAGGGGAGGACGGGGAGGGGGAGGGGGGGGAGGAGGAGGGGGAGGAGGGGGAGGAGGAGGAGGAGGAGGAGGAGGAGGGGGAGAAGGAGGAGGAGGAGGAGGAGGAGGAGGAGGAGGAGGAGGAGGTAGAGAAGAAGGACGCCGAGGGTGGGGCCGCGCGCGGCTCCAGCTCCGGCTCCGGTCCCAGTCAAATTGCGCGCAGTTAATCCAATCACACTTCGTAGTCAAAGTGCGCGCAAGCAAATCAAAGCAATGCACCCCTCTCATACGAACTTGGCTCAACAAGAAGCCGATTTGGTTACGCACGTACACGCAACAAACCATGGTAAACTACAGTACGTTGGGCGCGTCATTTGGTTACGATGTCTTGTCTTCTAGGGCGGGGCCGAGGCCGAGGGTGGGGCCAGGGCCGACGTCTTAACTGGATTTGCTTTCCAGGAAGGACCGCCTTTGCCCCCCCCCCCCCCGTCAGCCGCTTACACAGAGCCAGACACTTCGCTCGGCTTCAGTGCAAGCAAGGCACACATTTGCTTCGCTATCGGTCCGCCACTCTCAACGCAAATATGGCGGTGGGCTCCAACGCGCCGCAGCACTTTTGACACACGTCCTGCGTGGCCGTCTGAAGACAATCGCACTGCGCCTAGATGTTATAGATATGTTCCGTAACTCGCAGCAGCGTCGATCTTGTGATCAGTGAGGTGCCTCGGCGTGTGTAGAACTGCGTTTTTGTTGTGAGATCTACGTAGGTCTCGCCCCCCAGCCCCGGAAGTACATAGGCCTCGCCATCCATCCAGCTGCATGGATGTTTGGCCAATCGCTCCCCTCTGGAGTCGGGCCACATGCAATGACATGCTTCATATTCTAGGTCCGTTGCTGTTTTGGCTGAAGAGGAGACCAGCCTGCCCGGTGCGGGCGTCGCGGCCTGGCGGCCAGAATCCTGTGGCCCAGCCCCGCGCCCGCTGAGCCGCTGGGAGGTGCTCGCCGCCATGACGCAGGACATCACGCTGAAAGCGGCGCAAGCCGACACCTTTTACTACCCGCCAGAGTGGGAGCCCTCCAGGGGCAGCCTGGACCGCTTCCAGCGAGAACGGGGTTACGAGCACCATTTCGGCAAGTCCCGGACCAAGAATTTGCACAAGGGTATCCTTGTGATTCGGTTCGAGATGCCTTTCAAGGTGCAGTGCCTGCGGTGCGAGACGTACATCGGACAGGGTACGCGGTACGACGCGGACAAGAAGAAGGTCGGCAAGCATTTTTCGACCCCTATCTACGAGTTTAGCATGAGGTGTGGTTGCATCGTCGCGCCGGACAAGTCTGCGGATGGTGGTGTGCACTGCAACCAGCACTTCAGGATACGCACCGACCCCCAGAACAGCGACTATTTGCTGGTCGAGGGCCTCCGCCGCAAGGTCGAGACTTGGGACGCACAGGACTCGGGGTCGCTCCAGCTCCACGACGCGGAGACGCGGGCGAAGATGGACACGGATCCGATGTTTAAGATAGAGACGAACACGCGGAACATACAGAAGGAGAAGAGCGACAAGGAGAGGCTGGAAGACCTGCAGGAGCTGCAGGGCGAGCGCGAGGACAGCTACTCCCTGAACTCCATGCTCCGGCGTCGGCACCGCGAGCGGAAGGCGGAGGATCAGGGGGCACCAGCTGACCACCCCCACCGATCCTGGGCCAGGCCCAGGATCGGGTGCTCCCATCTCGGAGGTTGATCGACCTCCTGCCCTGACACGTCGATGATAGCGAATTGGCCGTTTTCGGTTCGCGAGAGGGCGTCGCGGCCGTCATTTTTGCGGGTCCAGGTCCGTCGGTTTCTGTCCGAGGCTGTTTTCACTACAGGGAGGTCTGCTAAAGGGAGGCTTGCCCACCGCCGACCACCTCCTCTCGTCGTGGAGACCACGACGGGAGGCTCCTGACAGTCTTCGGCCTCCCAGGGCGGCCTCCCGCAGGGCCCTCACCGGACCCTGGGACTGTCACGATGGAACCCGTTTCGAAAAGAGCTGGCCCCGCGGATGGAAAGAACGACCTTGCCGTCGGAGGGTCTGGGTGCGCCTCTCCCTGGCCAAGCCGGCGGGGCTTAGAGGCCCGGATGCCGGGGCCCCGGAGCTGGTCCCGGGCAGCGGCGGTAAGGTGGTCAGCTGTCGACCAGACCCAGACATGATCGCGTCGTAAAAAAAAAAATCAGGACGGGAGGTTTTTGGCGATTTCCGGCCCCGGGGGGCCCTCGCCGGGCCTCGGGACTGCAAAAAACGACCCAGGACGGAAAACCGGTCCTGGGGAAAGGGTCGGGTCTTGCGGGGGCGCCGTCCTGGAGAAATCAGGACCTCGCATGTCCGGGGACGCAAGACTGGCCTATGACCGGAGTGAGCTCTGGTGCGGGCACAGATGGGCCCCCAGGTGTGGCCGGATGTGAGGCGGCAGCAGGGGCCTGCGCGCCCAGCTTGGCCCCCTCGCGTCCCCCGCGAAGCTGCGCACCAAAGGTCACTCTTACCCAGGGTCGCGCCTGCGTGTAGTCGAAGTTGGCTCAGGAGGGGAAAAACACACACAGACAGAGACACAATGAATCGTCGATTCCCAAGAACATGCGCAGAAATATGGGCAGTGGGGGCGAAAACAGAAACCCAGAAAATGTTGGAAAATAATATGGGGAATCCCTTTATTTGTGCCTGTTTATTTGTGTGTCCCAGGGCCCTTTCACTGGCGTCTCCCAGAGGAGCTGGCCGCCGAGGAGGCCGCCCGAAGGGCCCCGAGGCCGAACTTCGGGGTCGCCCTGCTCCCGCCGAGCGCCGACGACGCGGCGGAGGCGCAGGGCGTGGCCTTCCGGACCGACCACAGCAAGGTCTCGGAGGTTGATAGACCTCCTCCTCCTTCTCCTCCTCCACCTCCTCCTCCTCCTCCACCTCCTCCACCTTCTCCTCCTCCTCCTCCTGCTCCTCCTCCTCCCCCTCCTCCTCCTCCTCCCTCCTCCTCCTCCTTCTCCTCCCCTCCTCCTCCTCCTCCTCCTCCTCCTACCCTGACACGTCGGTTAGCGAATTGGCCGTCTTCGGGTCGCGAGAGGGCGTCGCGGCCGTCATTCTTGCGGGTCCAGTTCCGTCGGGTTTTCGGTCCTGGGCCGTTGTCATTCGAGGGGAGGTGTGCGAAAGGGAGGCTTGCCCACCGCGGCAGGTCGACGCCGCCGCGCGCGTGGCCGCGAAGAGGGCCGCGCCCATCCTCGCGAGGGCGGCCGCGAGGGGTGCCGCCGCGGCCACGCCGGCGGCCGTGCTGGCCGCCAAGAGGCAACGCCTCGCGCAGCACGCGCGCATGGCGAGGCTCTTCGGCTGACCAGGCCCCGAACAAAAGAGCGCTGCAGGTAAGTCTCGACTAGACGTAGGAGTGACCTTTCGCAGGAGTGACCTTTGGTGCGGGCACAGGTGGGTCCCCAGATGGCCGAAAACGAAGCAGTAGCAGCTGCTTGCGCGCCCAGGGTTGGCCCCCCCGCGGCCCCCAGAAAGCCGCGCACCAAAGGTCACTCTTACCCAGGGTCACTCCTGCGCATAGCCGGGGAAGTCGGGCCTGCTCCTCTACAGGAGGAACATTCAAAGATGGTTAAAAAATCGGACGGGGACGATTTTTCGACCACTTTTGACCACTTGTTGGGCACTTTTTGGTTATGTTCTGTTTCTCGTCCGCAGTCCGCCCGTACGGGGAACAGGCCCGACCTGACGCTGCGGTGTCGGCACCCGGGGCGCTCCAGGGGGGGGGCCGCGCCCTCGAGGCGCTCTGGGAGGCTGACGTCCTCCTCGTCGGCGGGAGGCTGTGGCGGAGGGGCGGGGAGAGGCGGCGGAGGGAAGGCGGAGGGGCGAGGAGAGGCGGAGGCAAAAACAAAAGCCAACGATGTGTGTGTGTGTGTGTGTTTTTTATTTTTGTTTGGGGGGGAGGGTTCAAGGCTGCTGGAGCACGTCATCTGTCGAAGGGGAGCGCTGTGGCTGCAATTGCAGCCACAGCGCACCGACCGTCAGAGGCAGCATCGTTGCGGCTCCGTCCGGACGTTTCCTGGCCGCCAGGTCCAGCCGCGGAAGGGGCGGGCCCCGTCGGGCGCCCCACCGGCGATGAGCGAGCCGGGACGTCGTTTTTTTTTTTTTCAAAACGTGCCCCCCCCCTTCCCCTGGAGGTCTCGACCTCTTCCTCAGGATCGGCTCTTCACACCGAGTATACAGTTGCTTGACCTCCCCGAGCCTCGCGAGGGCCCCCAGAGGGCGACTACTGTCAGAACCGCACGTCGCAGCTTTTGCGCGACGAGAAGCTTGATCGGCGCGAGCTCCAGGCACTCGGACCAGCCTGGGCGGAAAATTTGACACCACTCAAGGCTCCCAGACACGGTAAAATCCTCTGCCAGACGATGCAGCGAACGTTGGCAATGCTTGACAGATTTGGTACGGATCACCATGCCGGGCAAACGATTGAAGACAGGAATTCAGCCATACATTGGCCGATGGAGCATTGGAGGATGGCTGGGTTGGAGAGGTTCATGCAATGCCTGCTGTGCAAGAAAATCTATTTAAAAAATCATACCTCGCAAGCTGGCCTTTGAAATCTTGAAGCAGATAAGCCCAATATGATAGTGCCGTCCGCCACGCAATCTGGTTAACACAACCCAGCATAGCGAGGTCGCGCCGCATTCCCAGTGGGCCCATATCGTGTTCAAGCAGTGCTTCCTTGGGAGTCACGCCAACACCTTCCAGAAAGGCATCCTGCAATCTGTCTGAATGGCGCGAAACTGCAGCAGCAGCGTGGTACATTGCCAGCGTGGCGCCCTCGATCTATGACGCCACGTGACATTTACATGAACGGACCATCTCGGCAGAGGAGTGGAATATCTTTGTTCGAAGTAGCGCCTGGAGCCTCCAGGAGCCTTCTGCGACGGAATGTGACACAGCTTGGTGCAGAACCACTGGTATCGAAGGGTATCCCGAGCATCTTGAAAGATTCACCGTCTGGCGAGATGGCGTTCAGAGTGTGGAAGCTGTCTGTGTCCGGCTCGAACATGACTTGGTGAGCGGCACCCCACTTGCGGAGAGCAGCCTGGCACGTCGCAGGGTCACGGTCGATGCCTGCATTTCTGCATTGCCACAAATTCCAGGATATGTTCGCCAACAGTTGAGGTCAACCGCAAAGATTGTCTCCACGAACCCAGCGGCATTGATTGTTGCACGAGCACCAGAACATGACATGTTCCAAAGCGGGGTCCCTTGATATACTTGGCTGTCAATCTTGAGGTCCTTGGCAAACGAACCATCGACGCAGACTTCGGCAACCCGGGCATCCAGCCAAGATTTATTGATTGAGGACCTTGCGTGCTCCACATGCTTGTGTTGCGAAGGCCTTACGACCGGTGCCGCCGACCCTGCAGACGACGAAGATGAAAGGGAGAGGGGGGGTGCAGGGGGAGGAGGAGGAGTGGCAGGAGGAGGAGGAAGTGGTGCAGGAGGTGGATGAGGGAGGAGGAAGGGAGGGGGAAGGATGAGGAGTAGGAGCAGGGGGGGGGCGAGGAGGAGGGCCCAGGGAGAGGGACGGCCCAGGGAAAGGGACGGGGGACGACGGATGCGGCGAGGAGACGACTGTGACGACGACGAAGACGACGAGGCGACGACGGAGACGAGAACTCGAGCGGAGCAGCCCCTCGCACACGCCGACGGGGTCGGCGGATTTCTCTCTCCGGCAACCGCCCAGCCGTCGCGCGGTCGAGGGCGGCAGACGGTGTCAGCGCAGGAGGGAGCGACGCGCCGGCCGGCGCTGAGAGCCCAAGGCCCATTGGAAGGCGTTGAAGGCGAGAGCGTCCTTGTATCGGCATCGTTGAACCAACCCCCATCTCCAACCCCATCAAATGACCACCCCAGCTGGGGACACCACCAAATTACCAGATTACCACCCCAGTGGGGGATACCACCAATCTTCGAGAGCCCCACCAAATTACCACCCCAGTTGGGGATACCCCCCTCGAAACCCTCGGGGAACGGCCCGTATCCCCATCTAGGGGGGTAAATCGGCCAGTGGGGCCCAGGCCACGCCGCTGGGGAGGGGGATCGGTCAGACGATACTCATTGCAGCCCCTTAGGGGAGCAAAAAGTGACATAAACATAAAAACTCGGAGGTCCGCGCGGATTTCTCGGATCGGCGCTGGGGCCCCCCGGCGGCGCCTCCGGCGCCGCCTCTGGCGCGCTCCGCGCGCCAGGGAGGAGGGTCCAGCGCCGATCCGAGAAATCCGCGCGGACCTCCGAGTTGTTATGTTTATGTCACTTTTTGTTCCCCTGCTTCTGTCCCTGCGGTGCGCAAACTAGTGTTGCCACCGTACGAACAAGACTCCTCGAAGGAGGGGAGGCATGAGTGACGAGAGTGGGTTCCACCACTTTGGAAACATTGGATGTCATGTGTGCTGCCTTGTAGCTCGCAGGCTGGGACTTGGCGCTACACCTGAAGAAGGGGAATAGTTAACCACTGTATTTTCCAACAAGACGGCCAACTTCCAGATGACAAGGCTAGCCGGGTCAACATAGCCAGGGGAACGGACAACGGGCCGTAGCATCGCTTCAATATGTTTGCTGACACCCCATCGGGGCCAGTGCCGCAGTTTTCTCGAAGCCCTCTGAGGGCAGATTTCACCCAGCGTGCACGCACAGCAGGAAGCCAGCCATCTCCGGACCTCGACGCCCATGTATCGCAGGGCTCTCGTTCAGAACGTGCTTTGGCAAGCCGTACTTCAAGGACAAATCCGCGCAAAATAAATCGGCTTTGCCAGACGCTGTTGAAGCCCTCTCACCGTCGGGACGAGGGGGTATGGAAAACACCTGGCCAGCTCGCAGCATCACAGAGATGCACACTGTCCATCACCTTTTTGACGAAGGGCTCAATGACAAAGTTGTTGCCTCGTCAGGTGTACGTACGTCGAGTGCTCCTCCAAAAGCCCCTTGGAGCAGGCCTTGTGCAGCTCGGTCGAAATCGCAAGTACCTGATGCACGAACTTCAGCCTCAATGAGCTACTGGCTCCAGGTGTTCAACCATGGTTGGGAGGATTCACGGAACGTCTTATACACTGTAGAAATATGTTGTGTGGGCCGTGCTAGCAGCCTTTTGTGGACCACATCCAGCAAACAAGTCGTTCTACGAAATATCATCCAGAGGTTCATAAAGTCTAGTCTATTCCTATCCGCTTCTTTGTAATTCTCACAATTCCTTTCGATTGGAGTCACATGCTGTACCGTGAATCCGACTTTTGCCAAAACAGCCCCGTTGTCGGCGATCTGGGGAAGCACCTGGCATTTGACCCCAGCGTTGGTGTCGGTCAGCATCAGGTCAAGCAAGTATTCGCCTCGAGTCGGCGCCCGACTCTCTCCACACAGCCCATTCATGGGCATGCCATTTGAAGGGCACGGCATTCTTTAGAATTGCTGTGCGAATGCGTTGACCAAGAAGCCGAATGCACATTCATGTCGCCCACCGCGAGGGTTCCAAGTGCAAGATGATGGTGCTGATCCAATTCCCGCTCGAGCTCCAACATCGATTCGGTCTCGCCGAGGCAAGGTGGTCAGTACCATACACAACATACTATTGAGCCGTGGTCTGTGTGAATGATGTGCCAGGCGCGCTCGTACTCAGGCGAACCACCCACATGAGCGACATTATGTGCAAAACTCACCTTGGAGAAGACAGCAATGCCCCCGCACTTCCGCCCAACCTGGCCATCAAGAAGGGAAAGGTAAGGATGCCCTTCCAGTTTGGTTTCAGAGATAGACTTGTCCGGGAAAGTCTCGGTTACTGCAACAAGATCAGGGACATCTGCCAAAGCAAGCCTACGGTGAAGTTCAGCCGCGTGGCCGAGGAAGCCGCCGAAGTTCCCATGGAAAATGAAGAAATGCAACTTGCAGTCTGACGGCTCTTGTCTGGATGTTCGCGGACCCGTCTCGAGAGAACAACAGTGCCCTGAATTATGTTTCCACCGTTGGAGTCGATGTGCCAACCCTTGTGCAGAGCGTCGCCCACGACGTCGAAGACGACGCTGGGGCACTGCCTGCTGGGGCCGCTCATCCGCCTCAGAGCGGCGGGGGATCCAGTGATAAACATTCGCTTGGTAAGGATGGGAGTTCCGATGAGTGGCCCCAGGAACACCTAACTCGATGGCCAGGCTCTCAAGCTCTGCTTCGAACCAGCCACGCTGGTCATTCTTGCCCTGACGGGAAGGCAACAACGTTGTTGACAACTACCTGTTTCTCCTTTGACCTTTCCACCTTCCACAAAATCTTCACCTCTTTCCCGGTAGACTGCGGACAGGTTGCGCACTCTTTTGGATGAGTGAGTCGGCCTTTCGGATCGCCCGGTTCCGTTGCTTCTGCATTTTCGTGCGGGCCATTTTGACTACGATGTGTTTGCCACTACGCTCACACGTGGTGCCGGGGGACCCCAACACACCAAGACAAGGCTTCGTGACGTCATTGTTGCAGAACCCATCCTATGAAGTTTTAGATATTTCCCTGTTGGAGTATGGGCTGGAGAATTCATGTTTCATGTCCGAACCCAGTCGGACGAGCATGTGGAACATGAGAGCGGCAGAAGTATTCCATCACTTGGGCCCTCGTACTCTCGGTAGCGTCATCTTGCTAACAGGCAAACGCGATTCGACAAAGAAAAGGATCAAACGATTGACGGCTTTCGAAGATCGGCGGCGACTTTGCTAGACGCTGTTGTTGCTGT